TTTCCCTACTCAGGGAACCATGGTTACATAAGTAACCTGAGACGTTTCTTCTTGACAATAACAGGTAAATTGTACAGAGCAGTAAAATTTACTTAAAATTTGTTAGTGCGAATTGTTACGAGGATTTTATTTTGTAGGATCAAGTAAGTTATTTTTTTCAGTGTGAATGATAGCTGGCTTTTACTAAATAAAGATTATACAACTATACATGGTGCACATTATGACATATAGGAGGAAAAAATATGAATTGAGAACTAATTAAATCAGTGATTAGCTTATATAATAGAATATATCTCGATAAATTGCAGGTATTCTCTTTTTAGATGTTATTGAATCAGTGAAGGATATTATAATCAAACTGTTTATAGTCAATATAAAATTGAAATATTGCAGGTTGGATAAAATCATTAAATAAAATCCTTTTTCACTGAGAAATACATCACATTATGGGAGTAAACATTGGGTTGCAAATGCAGCATTTTGTCTTTGCTGGCAGTAGATTTGAGCCCTGGGTGTGATCAGATATTTTATGACCCATCTGGAAATTAATGTTGTGTTCAGCAGGAATTTTATATGCAGACTCACCGGTTATACAGTGAACAACCTGCTGTATGTGTACATAAATGCATTTCTCAGATGAGATGCATGAGTTAACAGAGACGGTTGTTTGAATAGATTGTAATGTCTGGATGACCCTCTACAATACACAGCTATTTTTACAGTTTCTACCATTATTGCCCTGGAAAAGTATAGTTAATTTAATAGCAGGGTATGCTCAAATTTTATAAGAATACTTGAATAGTCTTCTTCCATGTGGAACATATTGGTAAAGAAAACGCATGATCTGCTATTTACTGAATTTCAACAATAATTTAAACAGGAAAACAATTTTCAAATGGAAAATAATTAATATCGTGTAAATATTGTATTTTGTCACTCTGGATAAATGAAACTGCCCCAATAGAAATGTGACAACTTGCCCCAAACTTGAGCTTTATGATAGATACCATGCTGGGGGGGAAAAAGGCTCGTCTCTCAGTTTGGTCAGTTTAAACCAGTTTAGGTCAGTAAACCATTTTAGTCAGGTTTGTTTCTGCAGAAATCTGCATTATATATTCGGGATTTGAGAGATGCATTCAATTTTGCCCACTAGATCATCTGGAGACGACATAAATCTGACGCTTCTATTTATAATCTCGCCGGTTTTGAAACGCATTACTTCACTAATTCGAAGCGCCTCGTAGCGTCACGCGTCAGCGGTAAACCGAATTGATTTCCAGCTGATCTAGAGTCCGATAGTGTACGTGGATGCGCAGGGACTCGTGAGCCACTCAAGTGAGAGCTGCAGATCAGACAGCACTAGTAAGTCAGATTTAGCTGCTGGTTTGAGGAGTTAGCAGCACTGCTGTCAGTCTTTGGGAATATGCAGGTAGAACTTGAAGGTAAGAAATATATCTTTGTGCGTCTAGTTTAGATGTTTTATTGATTGTTTTGCGTGCAGTTCATGTTTGCTTCATTGGTAATCATGAGGAAGATAGGCTATGTCATGCATGAGTTTTTATACTATACTATACCAATCTATACTAAGACAAAAGCAGCACCTTAAAGTAATTATTTAAAGATCTGTAAGAAAAATATAATTTTCACAAATATGCACGTGTGAGATTTTGCTAAATGTACTCGAAAGACAACATGCAGTAGTACAGGAGACACAGCTGGCATGTGACTTCATAGTTGACTGTTATTGAATAGATTAATTGAGTTATATGCATAAACGTCGTTATGAACTGTCACGGTCTGCGGCTTGACATCAGCTGGGCTCTGGTTGTGATCACAGTGATTACAAACCAGGGCCATTTCCTCTGAGCCTTAATGCGATCAGGGATGATGAGTTGCATTCGGACAGAAAGCAAACCCTCAGAGTCTGTGCGTTTTCACCGTGAGATTTCTAGGCCCACTACAGCAGAATGTTTATTGCTTAACCACATAAAACACTGTAGCGGTGGACGGCACGACCAAACTGCTACGAGTCATTAAAATCACTGATGATTTTAGTGAAATCATGCTGCAGTATATTCAGACATGTGCCATCAATTCAGTCCTATTATAAATATATTCAACTGAGGCTTCAGAATTTATTATTTATGCATTTGGAAGAATTCCAAATTCTAAGTATGCATTCAAATGTAACAATTTATCAGTTCATGCATTCCCTAAGAATTTAACCCATGATATTGGCGTTGCTAGAAATGATGGATTTTGGCTTTATATTGATTACGTGTTTGTTTACTTTAATAGTGCATCTCCAAATCTTATTGGCTGTTGGCTTGGCCGTTCTCTGTTTCTGCCTGGTGATTGGCTGCATCGCCTGCCGTTGGCTTCATAAGTCCCGCCTCACAGATGATAAGGAGGCAGGGCTTTCCTTACCCCCTCTACCTGCAGATCATGTGACTGTGACTCTAAGCCCCTCCCCTTCCATCAACACTCTGCCAATCAAACAGCAGTATGAGGAGCTGGACGGAGACGTGCTGGACTATCCCTCATTTAACAGCAGCTCGACGCCGTCAGAAGACGATCTTTCTTTACCATCTTATCCTCACAAGTCTCGTTTCAATCTACGGCGGCTCAGCTCCCCCGCCGTTCCCTACAAACCCTCTAAACCTGTCCGTGGTCGTTCCTCGCTCCCGACCATTCCTAAGCTCGGCCTGGTTGGGAAGTCGTGCCGGGCGGTTGATCACAAAAGCAGTGACAACGTTTCGTTTTCAGAAAGGAGCAGGCTGAACGCCGACAGCGGCCAACATTACGGCTCCGGCTCTCAAAAACCCACACCTTCCCTTCACTTCACCCTTCTGTTCTCACCAGCTGAGGGCAAACTCACCATCACCGTTCTGGGTCTCTACCGGGGCTCTAGGAAACTGAGCAGGACTACGGTTAGGGCCTGTCTGCCTCCGCTCTGCCCCACGCCGCTTCAGGGCGGCCCGACGCGCAGACACAGCCTCGGTCCGGAGGCTCCAGCACAGGTGTTCCAGCTGCAGGTGAGGTCGGCAGAGGAGCTTCAGCACTGCACGCTCAGGCTGACCGTGTCCAGCAGGGATTTCTCAGGTCTGAGGGAGACGGCTGTGGGTGAACTCGAACTGGCATGTGCTGAAATCCACTGGGAACCCGACTGCACCGTCACCTTTAATCGTCAACTCAACCCTGTGAGGAGGAGGCTGAGGAAGGTATTGGAGGAGACACATCCGGTTTTCACCCAACTGTTTACATTTATTAAACATATAACCGACTGTGTTTACTTTATGACATTACTGTGTGCGTATTTGACCATTCAAGCACAATAAAACAGGAAAGAGATCTGTTTCTGCGATCGCATGCTGTCTGAGAAGGACTTTCAGTGCGCGCGCTTCGGCTGTGTGTCAGTCAGCGCGAGCACCGCATTGAGTTCTTTTTCACTGCTTATTGCACTTAATAACTCTACCAAGTGCCGTCCCACTTTTTATTTCTCATTCATGCACGTTTCCTTAGTACTCAAAAGGTGTATAATGTTTAAGCAGTACTATGTTAAGCAGATATATTTGCATACCGCGTAATACACGCTATAGCAAAATCTCTAACGATAGACATTTTATTTCACGGTAACGATTTGTACCGTCATGCCGCCCAGGCCTATTTGTTTTCCTTTTTATTTTAATTAAATTTTTTAGTAATTTTGTTGCATGCATTTTTTTTATTCGTTTTTTTTTAAAGCTGCAGTCCGTAACTTTTTTTGGTTAAAAATGATCCGAAATCAATATTTGAGCAAGTGCATAACCAGTCAGTGTTCGAAACTATCGCCTTACTTTAGCCCGATTCACAGCGGTCAGATTATAATAATGTTTTCTAATTTGAGTGGTACGGGTAGGTTTTCGTGGGAAAATCGAGCATGCCGCTGCGTCATTACGTCACGTCTGTAAACATAAAGAAGTTGTCCCAGCTACTAGGCTGTCGCATATGAGGATCCTGCAGGTGGCCTATCGTTTAATGCCTTTTCTCACTGCAGTTGGAATAATTAAATGCATCATTTTGATGGCAGATTGTAATCCAGAAAGGATTATGTGTTTATGAAACACATGTGAATAAAATAAAATTATATTCCAGTTTTAAATGTGCTTCTGATTACAGATAGCCTGGGATTACACAAGATTTTTATTTTAAAGACAACCAGTTCGAAGGGAGCATAATTTGCTTTTTGGGTATTTCATATTTCTTAAAGGGGTCATACGATGCTGCTAAAAAGAACATTATTTTGTGTATTTGGTGTAATGAAATGTGTTTATGCGGTTTAAAGTAAAAAAAAAAACACATTATTT